GGCCCACGCCTGCCGAGCGGCGCGCTGTTCCTGGTGGTGGAGCGCAGCAGAGGCGGGTGGAGGGCTCTGGGTAGGCCACAAGAAGACGGCAACAGCTAGAGGCTAGGTCCCCCAGTGCCCTTTTACCATTTCTTTTTTTGGGGGGAGGGTTCCTCTACTAAAATAGACGAATCAGAGAAAAAGTGGGTACCCTTGTTCCAACCTCTCTAAAGGAGGACCTGGGAGGAACCCCACAGGGGCTGGATAGCCGATTATGGTTTGCGGCCATGCCTTTCTATGCACGTTTTGGGTATCTTCTAGGTGTTGAATCCATGTTGCATTCTGTTCAACCATCGCGCTTTTCAAACGGTTGTCTGGATCTCCGGAAAGAATGGGGATGTAATGATGTAACCCCTAGAGGGATTGCCTGCGTATGGCTTACTCCTCCAAATCGAACCTTTGCTGTGTTGTGCTTGCTTAATTCAATTGGCACCCTGGAAGGACTGCGTTACACGGGGGTTGGGGGGGGGAGGAGCGGGGTGGTCAGGGTGTGCAACGTTTTATTCATTTTTTTAGCCAGGGCCGGAAGCTTTCACTTGAACTCGGCTTGAGGGGGTTAATCCTTGGAACGTGGAGCGTGCCCCCCTATCCGATGGCTATTATAATGGTATGCATGTACGTAAAACGTATATACAGATTAAATGAACAGGTAGGCAAGTGTCAGATGATGGGTGAGGGTCAAAAATCGATACGCGAATGGAACCACAGTAAATGGAAACAAGGACTAAAACCTGCGGTTTTCTTGGTAGTTCAATATTGACCCATACTCATATAGATCAACCCAAATTCTCCCTTTTGCCTTTTTCGGTAGTGGTTGGTGGAAAATTTCCCGCAGGACTCGACCCCCTTCCCCAAGCCCCCCCCCCCCCCAGGCACCGACGGCTGGTGGCTGCGGTTGGCCACTGGCGGCAGATGGCTGCCTGAGTTGCAGGAGGCGAAGACGGCGCCTCGGCCAATTGACCCGATTCGGGGTGCGGTTTGAACAGGTACCGTGTTTGGGATGGTTGAAAGGGAAACCAAAAGGCCAGCATTTCTGGGGCTTCCTGTAGTTTGGGACAGGTCTTATTTGACCTTGTTTAAGGGTTGTAGTTCTAAAGCCGGCCATTCGGAAGGTCTCATTCCGTGAGTTCCTGGACTTTTGTTTCAGAGGCAGACCCGCTTTCGTGGTGAACGAAAGGTTCATTGGCGGTTTTTTTTGGTTGGCTAGTCCACTCAGGAGCTGAGTTCTCGATCTTTCGGAGCTCCGAATGGCAACCCCCCTGACTCAAACGGAGGTAATGGAAGCCCAGGTTTCAACATACGCTCTCAGAACACGGTATCAATAGGGGTGACCATTAGGCGTTGACCGCGTTCTGGATCTCGAGCTGTTTATGGGGGTCGTCTCCCATGTCAGGCTCTCGCGGTTGTTCCTCGCATTCGCAAGTTGCTGCAGCATGCCCCCCAAATAAGGCAACATGGCCGGGATACATCACAACTGAATTGGAACTTCCTGCAGCAATGGCTGCCTCAAGTGTGCGAAGGGGGTGCATGTGAGTGACCGTGCCAATCACTGTTCGGACCAGTTATATGTTCCATTCATGTTCCACGCGCAAGTAGCTTTGCTGAATGCTTGCCTCTTCAATAACTCACATAGCGCAAGCACATAGGGTAGCAAGGAACTGAAGGAACTCAGACAGAGATGGAGAACTGATCCTTGTGTCCCCTTTCTATACACCCGGCCTTGCCTACTTGTTAGTTATTTTTGCTCCCCGGTCAATTGTTCTTTTCAAGCACCCGTTTCCCCTCAGCTTCTGGAAGCCAGACGGGGTCCCGTTCAGAATGGAAGGAACCCATGGAAATCTCATTTTGAACGAAACCAACTAGAATTATCGTTTTGAAGGGGAAAACCAACTTGGTACAGAAGGTTGCAACCTGAAACTTCGCTTCCACACAACCCAGTGTAGCAGACTTTTAGAACCTCATGTCTTTCAACTAGTTCAACGCCGGCTCGGCTTTTCGTATGGAGACGAGTTGCGACGGCTATGGTTCCTTGGGCTCTGGGCCCAGAAATCTGGGACGGGACACCGACCCCCGGCGACGGAGAGGGCGGGCGGGGCCCGTGCGTCGGGAGGTGGCGGTGGGCTGCGAGCCCTCCAAAGCCCAAGCCGCCGAGTGGGGGCCGAAGCCTTCGGCGTGCTTCGGGGGGCGGCGGGGGGGAGGGGGAGGTGAGGCGAGAGGGGTGTGGAGGGTCAAGGCAAGGGTCTACTTGGGTTTCTTCGTGTTTCGGGGAAAAAGGGGGGGGGGGGGGGGGGGGGGGGGGAGGGTGATGGAAGTGAGGCTGGGTGTAGTGGAGGGTCTTTCGGGCGGGGGGGGGGGAGAATGGGGGGAGGGGGGTGATGGAAGTGAGGCTGGGTGTAGTGCGCAAGGGTCAAGGGTCTACTTGGGTTTGTCAAACCGTTGAAATCGTGCTCCGGAGGGGACTGGATTTCGAAGGGAAGGAAACCAAGAGGAAGCCAACCAGTTTGGGCGCCCTATAAGATACTACCATCATCGCAACCTTCTTTTGGGGTATTGTTTCTTTCGGTTTGTGTTTGCAACATTGTGTCCACGGCAGCGGGGAGACCCTTGACGTTTTGTTTTTGGGCACATTGAGATTTCCAGGGCGCTTCAAATAGTGTTGTTATCTTCTTTCAACGTTGGGTTCGACATATCATGACCCCCGTTTGGGTTGAGCTGTTCTGGCGTGGCACTGTGCACATGTATTGATGAGGCCCAGCTTGGCTGTCGTACAAACGGCTTGGGCTGGGCAGAGGCTCTTTGTCCAAAGTGCAGACCCACCTGAGATTTGTCATGGTCGCATAATGCACGCAGGTCTTTTCGCTGAAAACACCTGTGAGGAACAAGGTCCTGTTTGGGACACCCTTCTTGGGCTTCATGTTGATCTGCAGGAAAGTAGCGTTCCTATGCTGAAAATATGTCAACATGTGCCAGGCCATTTCCGATGTGATGTTCTTGGCAGACAGAGATTGCCCCGAGCCCTTTCTCAGGAAGCCAATGCTACCCACAGGTCAGATCGTCGAGTGGCAAGTTGGGCAAAAGGGCCCGAAACAGTGATGACATAAGGAGTGGCCGCTTTGGTATGTCAGAAAGGGCTACCACAGCCATGTTCAGATGTGTGGGCGCATGGCGAGATAGTGAGACATCTGCAGGGGGCTTGTCTCCAGTTGATAATTGGGAAGTCCAGTGTTCAATTTCCAAAGGCAAGTGAGGATGGCAGCCCAATTTGCTCTATGTGCATAGACTATGGTACCAAGAGAGGGCTCAGAACCATTTGAGACTACCCTCCTGTCCACCAGCATATAACCCACCTGAGGGTCCCTTATACAGGAAAATAGTTTTTCAGTAGCCCGAAACATCAGGTTCCAACGTGGGCAGGGTATTAGGTTCCCTCTTTCTGAAACCGGGATGGAGCGTTCAACTTTTCCACACTTCCGACTCTAGATCGCCCAGGTGGCTGCAAAAATCTAGGCGGGCGATGGAACGAGGATGACGCCAGAGGGAGTTGGTCGCCCCAAGCATCGGGGAAACAACCAAAGGAAAGCAGTGCCCACCCCCCTCTCACACCCAGTGAAGGTGCCGTTTTTGGCAGGGCTTAGGGTTTTGAGTGTGATTCCTTTGGTGCAATTTGCTTGGATGTCAGGACTTTAACTTTTTGCCAACAAATGGGTTTTCCATTAAACCACTAAAAGTTAAACTGTTCAGGGGAGCAGAAAGCAACCGAGATTCTGGTATGGCCCTTCCCTCATTCGCCACAAGGAATCTCTCAAACTCCGAAAGCGAGAAGCTGACCGGGTTGACGTGCGCGAGCTTGGAGAATGACTTTAGTTTGCTGAATTAAATGCCAGGTCCTTCGATGTTCTCGTGGCGCGGAACGCGCGGTTGGTCTGCGCGCAGCTGGAGACGAGGCGGGAGACAAAGCGAAACGCTCTCCCTTGAGCGAATTGCATGGGACCCATATGGCTGTGAGTCAAAACCGTGTTGGTACCATTTTGGGGGTAGGTGCACCACCCATTTTAGAACCCATTTTAGTGGTTGGATTTGGATGTTCACTGGGGGTACGATTTGGATTTTGCCCATGGCCATATTTGTTCGTGGTTCTTTTCTGTGAGGTTTTGGAGGGTACCCTTTTTGGGGCTGGTTAAGCACAGAAGTCTTGTTGGGGGGGCTACCCGCTTTCCAAGCATAGAATCATAGAGGGGCCAATGGAACCCGCTCACTTTGCGAATCGATTGCCCGCATTTTGAGAGAGGAATGGGTGTTTTTGTTTGTTTTTCTCTTTCTGTTTTTTTCCGAGGCTTACCCCGTGTTTAGCGGTTCTCACTGAGAACCTACAGGAAAACCACAAATGTTTGCGGGTCCCCCAAAACAGACACGCACAAATGAGCGCAAATCAGGCATGTGCTTCTGGGCAATCGGGGGCAAGCTCCATGTTTTTTCTCACAAAAGCCAGGAGCCTCACGTTTTTTTCCCATGTCCTTTGGGTGACCCGAAATGAGCCAGTGAAGGGTAGCGGACAATCCCAGATAATTATGGGTGCGGACATCCGCCCGCTTTAGTGTCCTATAGGTGTTCATTGCGACTCAAATCGGTGTTAACAGATGGGTTCCGATCGCTTGCAAAGGACAAGCCCATCTGTTGCTTGGTGGCTCCCAGCCATCCGGTTCCTTTGTGTTTTTGTTGTTGGCCTTTTAGTTGGTTAGTGGACATGTCCATTTACACCAGGAAAAGCATTTTTGTGTTATTACTTTTAGCAGGTGATCAATTTGGACAGCCCGGTTTCAACACACATTCGCCTTTGTAAGCGATCGGAGCCCGTCTGTTGGGTTTCCGTTACGCGGCCCGCTTTTGAATGGTTCGATCTAGGTCTACGCCACCTCCCAAATTTTAACGACGGCGTTGATCAAAATCGGGTCTGTTGAATCCCCCGGTTCCTTGTCAAAGCCAATGGTGATATGTGCTTCTTTGTTGATTTCTCCAAATGAACTATTCACCCAGCAAAAGCTGGATGCTATTGAAACGAATCAGTTTCTGCCTGGCTGTCTCATTTCAGCGAGAGGGGTGATAGAGAGAGAGAGAGAGAGGGAGCGAGAGAGAGCGAGAGTGACCTGTCCGCCTTTAGATTCGTATATTGAAGTGTGCCTCAAACTTGGGAAGCACTCCAGCGCGGTTTACGTCCTTTTGACTTCCAAGCCATTTAAAAGGGGTACTCTTTTGTTAACCGACCAATCTTAAGTTCTGCCAATAAAGTTAGACATTCTACGACAATTTTGTCCTGATCGAATTCTATGTTCATTCTAATTAGAAAATGGGAACAAGCACATCCTGGGAAAGGAAGTTCTCTTGAAACTCCAAGTTGAAGTAAATTGGGTAGAAGTGGTGGGTGGTGTGGTGGGTGGTGGTTGGTGGTGCTGGTGGGTGGATGGTGAACATCCTTCTAATTCTTTACATCCGGTACTTGCCGGGGAACACGTTCATCCTCTCAGTCAACAGACACTTTGACGGTAGCTCATTTTGGTGATTCTCACAGCAGGTTTCCCTGGCGGTGTCTGAGCTAGGTTTGTCATGTGAGTCAGCTCAAAGAGTCTGGCGGTACCGGAAGCCAGACAGAGAGGGATGTGGTTTGGCTTTCTTGTCAGGGCCTTGTATGTATGAACATTCGGCAACATTCCCCAGTTGAGGGGATGTCACACCAGAATTTTCCAAGGCGACCCCAAGCACGTTAGAGGCATCCGGGTGTGCCTGTACAGAATTTCCTGAAATGTTCACAAAGAGTCTCTTTAGAAGGTTCTGCACACGCTCTTCCAACAGAATCCGTCTGAAAGCTCCTGTAGAAGATATCCTGTTGAAAGAGGTCCCGGACAAGTTTTAGCTGAGCCAAGTTCTAAGCATGTTTCTGTGGAAAGTCCTGGACCAGATGTATGTGGAAGGGTCTTTACAGGATCTCTCTTGGCACAAGATCTCTTGATAGGATCTGTTGGTAAATATTTGTACCAAATCCATGAGACGATCCTCTATATGCAAGTTATTTGTCAGGACCTGTAAAGAGCATTATCCACAAGGCAGCTTGCAAGAAAGTCTTTGCAGATCCTGCCCGAGACCTTGAGAGGATCTCTATTAAGAACCAGCAAAGTTTTTTTTGCGATGATCTCTACGGTATATTTGCGCAATATCTCCGAGTACACTCTCTGGGTAACACGATTGCCACAAAGACTGGGATCCAACACACACACCAAATGTTGTTTCGCGCGACCCGGCGCAGTCGAAATCAACATTGAGCAGTCCATTGGGATATTTTTGCGCCAGCCTGTGTAGTTGAAATGAGCAACCCACCCCGCAACAACGATCTAGACACCATGCCTTTCAGATGCCGTTAGAGCCCTTAGCACGTCCACACTGGAGAAAAAAGTCATCAGCAAAGCTCGGAATCCTGTGATTTGTTCGTACGGTATTGCCCATTCAAGCTCGGCTCCCTGCAAAATAGTCTATGGTTTTTTATTGCCCCCGGAGGAACCACTGGCTTCAGACGCTGCATTACCGCCCAGTGGAAGTATATACCCCACCAATGGTTCAACAATCCGTGGTTTTCAACAAGCGCTTTGTGTCATCCACGATTGCATGTGGCATTGCTCCGTGCCAGGTCGGCTCCCGTTGCACCGCGGGAGAAGCCTGCCGCCCAGCAAGTGAGGCTGGGCAGGGAGGGGCGCATCATGTAAGCAGTCCCGCTGACCATTTCAGAAACCGTTCAACTACCTGGTTCCATTATAGGCTTACAGTAAGGCCTATCATATATTCGTTCTTGGCTGTTGAGGTGCAAAAACTGCGCAAGTGAAGTGCGAGTTGCACCCCAACAATGTGTTTGCCACTTGTGACGGTGCTGGTGCGCTTGCAGACAGGGGCCCTGTTTTGTCATTGTGCTTTACAAGGTTGCTCCAGCTTCCTTGGAGGTTCCCAGCCATCCGGTTTCTTAGCTGTTTCGCCGTTTAGTGTTTAGTGGGGGTTCCATTTAACCCACTCAAAGTTAAACTTTTAGCAGGGGATCAGAAAACTGACAGACCAGCTTCGTCTTCGGTTCTGTTGTTTGACTTTCCAGTGGCCTGAATTCTGATTCGTGCCGAGGTCTTCGGGGCACAGCTGTGACCCTGCCAATTGACCTGTGTGTTTCAACGTAGATGACGACCAGTGTGAGTGCCAGGTCCTTTGGTAGCAAAGACGAGGGCAACTGCCGGCGCCGGTGCTGAAGGGATTCTTCGTCAGCAATGCCTAACCGACTTGTTATGGAATCCCAAGACAGGTTCCAAGGAGGGTGGGTCTGTTGGTTTCGTTTTGACCCCTCTTGGGGATTGCACAGACTTGGTTATAAAGGCCTGACTGCAACCATCTCTAAACCAGAGAGTAGAACCTTCCTTGGGCCCTCAATTCTGCAGGGCTATGCTTGAGGGCACTACTTTGGGCGGGTGTGTGGGGGGTGGATTGATTTCAAGGCTTGCAAGATGGTTGGCATCAATCTGGGCAAGCGAGCTCACCTGGGCTCACCCTGCGATGAATCGTAGTAGTTTGTGTGCATGTGTATGAGGTTCTGGACTATGGGCATTTGGGAGCAACATGGAGAAACTCACCTATAGGTTTCAATAAGTAAGAGGACATGGGACATTTAGGGCATGGGACATTTAGTGAGTCCCCTGGTTTGTGTGGGAAATCGTAAGTTTGACCGTGGCTGAGAAATATAATATACTAGTATATGTAGGTATATATATATATACATACACACATACATACATATATGTATATATACTAGTTAGATATATGTATATATCTACATATTATGCAGAGTCCAGTTTAGAGATTGACGGGGTCCACACGGAATAAATGACCGCAGTCCTTGAGAGACAAGCTCGACAGGTGTTGAGCTCTCGGCTGAGCTGGTCGTCAGCTGCTGGCCGCGGACAGCCTCCTAAGAGGGAGAAGGTTCCCCCCGTAAAGGGGGGGGGGGGTACTTGGGGAACCTTCATCTAGGTCCCCCAGTAGTGCCCTTTTAGGAAAAGGGTTCCCCTACTAAAACAGACTACAGAAAAAAAGGTACCCTTATTCTAACCTCTCTACTGGAGGACCTAGTCATTGTTTGTCAGAAAGCCCGACAACTTTTATTTTGAAGCGCCCCCTGTGAAGGCCAAAAGGGGATACTATGGTTGATTGGTACTAGTGCCCTAGTGCCCCAAGTGACAAACACATTGGGTCCCTGACAGTATGTTTGGCACAAAGAGCAAGGGGATTTTCCTGAGCAGTTGATGTCAGGAAAGGCTTTGGGGTGCTGAAGCACGCACGCTGACACTGGCACTAGTGGTAGGTTTTCCCTCCGAGGCCAGAGCACCACACACGTGTTTATTTTAGTTGTTTTCCAAGGTGGGTTGGTAGGGGATGGCCCCCCCTCAAGATCTCTTTGCTCTTGCAGTTTTTCTCGTTTTTGCTTCTTAGGGGAGTAAATAGTCAGGGTTAGACACCAACTGCCAACTCCCATGGCATCTCCAGCAATCCGGCTAGACATCGGCGCTTTGGTACGAGTCTTGGCCATCAAATGAGTTTCCCTGGTGAACTTATGGTGGCTGTAATTGGTTTTCCCCATCCTCGATCCAAGTCCTGCGGCCTGCATCTTGAACCTGGTTTTGGGTTGCAGTATCAAACTTGACTGGACTCCGAAAACCCATGTGATAAAATTTCTGAAAAAGAAGACACAAGGGGATCCATCGTCCAATTGTCATGTTCTTGTTTATGGCACCCCGTACGACCGTTTCTTTGCGGTCAACCCCGCCGCCCGCATTTGGCCCCTTATGCCCATATTTGTTCGGCAAATATTGAACCCGCATTTGTTCAAAACACGTGCTGCTGAACAAAAAGTGTAAAGGACTGTATGACCTTGTTTGAAGTCAAAGACCATACGATAATTGTTTAACAGACACGGCCATATGGGGTCCCAGGTTTGTTCAAGACCTGCGCTTTTTGAACCTGAACCAACCTGGAACTAGATTTTCCCAAGGCAAAAGGGGGCAAGCTGAGCGCTTGCCCGAGGCATTTTTCCGCACCCGGCCATGGCGTCGTATGCGCGACACGGCTCACTCCTAAGGAGGCCAGGAGTCAAATTGGCGGTCGGCATCCAGAAAGCTGTAATCATGGTTGTTGTTGGGAAACATTTTACATTTTTGCTGATTGTGGTTTAGTGGGAAATCCCCACTTAACTGCAATGATTTTTGTTTGTTGCTTCCCTTCCAACGTCAACCAAGTAGTGCGAGGGGCTGAATGATAGTTCCTAATGTTAACCCCGGATTAATCAACCCCTGAATGATTGATAGGGTGTCCCCTTTTGGCGAGGATTCAGACCAAAAGTAGGGAACACCCCCCAAATAATGGGACGGGTTTCTTAATCCTGGGTCAGCATCACCATGAATTGGGACCATGCATGAACAAGTGACTGTTTTCCTTTAAAAAAAAAAACAGTGGTGTCCCATCCATGAGGGGATTCGGGTCACGGTGCGGGGAATTGCACCCTCCTGCAGTGCAAACAAGCTCAGTTCTTTTTTCAAACTCGGGCTTGAAAGGGTATGAGCAACAACCAGCAATTATCGTCATCTACAGTAGTTGTAGTGAAGGGAGTAGCATTGGGTGTACGCAGCACATTGCCATTAGACAATGGGGGTTACTTGCTAAAACGCAATGTCGTTGGGGCACACAATCAATGAAGGTCGATTCTGGCTCGTACAGAGCAAACACCTCGCAATCTGGGCTTTGGGAATCAAACACTAGGTCACTGTAACTTGTCCAAAACTTAGGACGTTTAAACCGCTGCCATTTGGCGTGCGCTTTCATTCCTGTAGTCTTCGGATGAATCTGAAAGGATGTCGGCACTATTCAGAGGGTTCCAATTCAAAGCAGTCTATTTTCCAAGGAGGCACAACCCCTGGTCAATCTTGAGGAGCTTGTATTTCGAGCAAACATTATACTTAGTTGCTTTTGCTCCCGCTTTGCGGATCGCTTATTGTGTCATTGTGGAACAATAGCAAGGGGAGCAAATAATACTTGTATCAACCCAAAGGTGACTTTATGACTGCCGATCAGAAACTATTTGGGCCTGTAAGGACCGCCCGGGACTACTCAGGATCATAGCCTTCCCATGGCTCCCTTTACGGCTCTGAATTAGCATTGTGCAATGGTTCCTGCTAAACTATGACTACGGCGCACTGTGAGAGTCGCGGCAAATTAGGCGTGCGCTCAGTGCAAAACAGTATACAAATGAAGGGAACAGTGAACATTAGGATTGGCGGTCATATGCATCCCACCCAGGCGTAACTAGGCTGTAGCCTCGCTCTTGTTCAGCGCATTGATAGACTCCCCGTGTGAGGTACGCCCCATCACAATGGGGTTGTAGATACTTCAAAGGTATAAACATCCAAACTGTTCCAGCTGATTTCGCGACGCTAGGGCTCCTCAACCGCCGGAAGCTGACCACCACTGTACCAAGGGTTCCAGAGTTGCACGCCGTACCCCCTCCGATGAGGTCTTTTCGAAGGAGGTAAATGGGTTGGCACAAAGTCAGGGGTACGAGCGCGGTACGACTCTACCCTTCACTGTAGGCAAAAAAGGGCCATGTGCGACAGCCGAATGGGCAGGCCGCGTAAAAAGGGCCCGCCAGAAAGGGGCGGCAACTCAATCTGTTTGCCGCCGGCCCGGCCGGGCGAGAAAGTTACACGCGCTGGGTGAAGAGGCGGTAATGCTTCCATGATCTTTGCTCAGGTTACTGTTGACATCACTGTTTATATATTTGTATAATATGTAGATAACCTGCACTACATATTTCCAGGGCAACAAGAGAACTCTCAAATATCTTCAGATTCTTTCTTACACATGACATGCTTTCTGTTGCCTGGATGTCAAAAACATGCATGTCCGTAGGCCAGTAGCTTGGTCCCGGAGTTCGCTCGTTGTTGTTTTCTTGCGCAGACCTATAGCTCATGATGGCAAGTCGTACTTGTAGGTTCTCTTCATGCTTGAAAGTGTCCTCGAAATTTTGTCAAGAGGTTGGTGTGATCTTCATGCTTGAAAGTATCCTCGATTTTTTCAAGAGGTTGGTGTGATCTTCCAAATGTTACATCTTGAGGGTCACTAAATATGGACTAGACTCAACTGTATTGAGGGTGGTGGGGCAAAGGCGGGGGGCAGGAAGGGTGGTTCTTTGAATAACAGTCCCTCAGATGCCGAATCTCATTTCGCCTTCGCACCGCGCTTCACAGACCCCTCGCGGTCCGTGTACTGCATTGTGAGAAAAAAGAGACCGGCGGCTTGAAGCCATGGGCGAATCTTGGCGAATCCAGGACTAATACCAGACAGGCTGGCAGCTTGGGTTTAAGCAGCTGGGTTCACCTTTCTCACCTTTCGGATTGGTCAGAAAAGATCAATCTCCCTGCTCGTTTGCCACTAAAATCGAGTCGAGGAGAACCGTTTAAGCGGCACCAAGCGTCTGAATCCTAGATTGACAACCTTTGGGGCCGGGGGTCACCTTTTGAGGATGAGACCTTAAACCTATGGGCGTTTCGATTTTCCGACTGCACCGCGGTCAAGGTACCTGCAAATTTCAACATGTGAAGCGCGGTCAGAATTGAAAAGGAAAAGGAAAGTAGTCTACACTTGGACATCCATATAGCTCCAGGTGCTTGAAGCCATGGAAAAGGATAGGGGACTCTCAAAATTTGCGGGTACTTACTGTGAACAGCAAATTTTGACGGACCTTCATGTCCAAAACCTAAGGACCCCCCAGGACGTGCCTTCCTCAGCTCGCTGTACCTCCGAATCGGTGAGCTCGCCAGTTCGTAACATGTTCAGGCATCCATGGAGTCCAAGGCGCATAATCTCATTGGAACAGGGTGTTGGGATCAAGGGGGTTGTCCCCACATCTGTGATACAAGGATGCCTAATGAATGGAGCCACTGCGGCCAATCTTCTTCTCCCGCACCAGAGGTTTTGTGTGAAGGGTCTGGGGAGTATACGGGTCTGGGTCAAAACCCAAGATGCGCTTTTTGGGGTAAATTCCCTTTTGCTTGGTCCATCGCAAAAAGCGCATCTGGGGGGTAGGGGAGTACCGGAGTTTTGACCCACGGCCATATGGCCATGTCCCAACGAAAATGAGTGCTTTCAAACATGGCAGGGCTTTCAGGGCTTTCAGGCGGGTGCGTAAAACAAGCAACATGGTGATATGGTGCCGAGCGGGCAACAAAACACATGTATATGAATGTTGGCATATATATATATATATACATAGACACATACATGCACAATACATATATATATATGTATATATATATATGTATGTTTATATATAATAGCTAAGTTATATATATATATATGCATAATTGTAATGTAAGAACATATATACGTGTATCATTCTGAGTGTGTGTGTGTGTGTCTGAATTAGCCCCCCCCCCTCAATGGCAGGTTCCCTTTGAGGTCCTTTTAAACCAACCAAACAAGGGGATACCATCCAGGTCTGAATATGTTTCCAATCACAGTATTTGACCTTCGTATAGTATTGAGGATGAGGCAGTTGGAGGGCCTTTCAGAGTACCTGACCTTCTTCATATGCAACAAATGCTGCAGTCTTGTATTGTGTGCAACCAAACGAAACCAGGAAAAGCAACTTAATTTATTTCAGCCGTCTCAATCTCAAGTGCGTTGCAGCAAGATCAGGATTGGCTGTTGAATCTTTGGTTGATACCGTAGATGGACAAGACCCTGCACCAATTGGTAGGTGGTTGTCCCAATATTCGTAGGGTTTCATGCACCCTCAGTGGTGCCGGAGTTTGTCAATCAGTCGATATCAAATGGTAGTTGTCTCCGACGCCGCACAGTGTTGCTTCTAGCATCTTGCACGCATCAAGGCTGTCTCCAGGAGGTATGGATGCTTGCATACCAAAGTAAAGCTTGTAATGCAGTATACCTCCCTGATACAAGTGGAATATAGCCGTCATACCTTCAAAACCCATCCCTGAAGCCCTTGAAGGCAGGTTGAGCTGTTACAAGGGCTGCACTCGAAATACCTTTGGGTGGTTTGATAGCACGAATGCAGCTGGATGTTGACATATCCGACATTGGCATGTCCACTATGTCTTGCCTATGGGCTAGAAATCGTAAAAGGGGACCCTTTGGACAGAATGTGGGGATTTATGTCCATCAACTTTCGAGGGGCTATGTTAAAGCTCAGTGCCACATGTGTTTCGATTTGTGACTTGCGATTGCTTCATGTTTTCTTGGACGTCGGGTTCTTTAGGCCATTGTTCTCGCTGCATTCTCAGGGATTCTCTTTAAGCCGTGATCCCTGGCGCTTTCCGAAGAGAACGGGGATGAAACCCTTACGGTCCTCACTCCCTTTTATGTCATTCGCATGGTCGTTGTTGGGAAACATTTCACATTTTTGCTTATTGTGGTTTAGTGGTTGAAATCCCCACTTAACTTCGAAAAATTGATTTTTGTTGCTCCCCTTCCATCGTCAACCAAGCCTTTATGTCATTCACCTCGCCACGTATTCTAGAGGCGCGTGACCCATTTTGAAATACAGAGCCCTTTCCGTCTTTGCCTCCAGGCAGTTCCATGACAGTGATTTGATTCTTATCCTCGGGCTAGGAAAGCCTTTCTGTGTCACGATGAAGGATTATGGGATTGACAGTATCACCCTTATTTTACAGGGTTGCTCCGGGCCGAGCCTCTCAAAGCTCATCGACAACCAAGATAGAAAATGGGTTTACATTCTTAGACAAAGCCATTTGAGCACCACCCAGTCAACTGGTTTGGATTCCACTGCTCACTTCGCCGCGTTCGGCCGCTCGAAAACCATCCCCGTGCGTTGCCGCGGCTCTCGCGCTGCGCTTAGGCGCGCTCGCGGCTTACCCGCGGCTCCTCGCGGGTGAGAGATGCGGAAAAGAGGCGCCTGTCTTGCGTTTGAAGGCGCGAGTTAACGGCGGGGGTTCCTGGGTTGTGCGCACTTGAGTCCTCGAAGTTGGGGATCCCCAAGTAGATGGTCTCCTAGGAAGGTTTCGAATTTTGACATCCAGACAAGGGTCCCCTGTTTGGAGAAAGGGTTCGGAAGAAGTCGCCCAGTCGCAAACGGAAAAGCCTGGCTGCCGGGTCCCAATTGGAGGGTTCTCAAGCATTACTTTGTTGCGCCAATCACAAGCTGAATGTCAGTAGACCTCCAGCGGGCTTTTGCGTTTGCTTTGGGCAGAATAATTTCTTCTCAGCAACACCACAACAAGAAACACTTGAAATGAGCGATGGACATGTTTGTTTATCAAAAAGGGGAGATGGTGACTGGCTTCCCGATTCCTCCTTTGAGCCCCACCAACAGGGGCCCGCCTATGTCTCGACTCTGCCCATTTATGTTCCCAGATAAATTGATTTGTTATTTTAATGTTCGCATCCACACGCTGGGATTGTCAGCACTCAAAACGGCTCCGCCACGGGTGCACGGATCGTGTTGCCGGATTTTATGGCGTGGTCATGTGGGGTTAAGATGTAGGGATTTGCCTGGTGCATGACAACAAACACTTAGCACAGGAATTTCCGACCTTGAGTGCTGTTTGCTTGGTGGGCAATCAAGGAGGATATTTCGGGCAATCTGATGAAATGATTCTGTTCCGCACAATAGGCAAGAAACCCGAAAGCTTGGGGTATCAGAAATGCGTGCACCACCTTAACTCTTTTGTGTGAAACAGAGATGTATTAGTGACATTGGAGAGCAGTACTTGTGTGTGAGGCTCAAGCCACTTGGCCGGTACCTTTGTCGTTTCCAGCCGGCCCATGTTTGCTTGCTGCACCGGACCCGCGCAGGGCCAAGACACATTGGAGGTCGTTTCTTCGTTTTGTGTCCATGGAATGCCAAACACCCCCCGGGACCCTCCAATGATGTTCTTCGGTAACGGTGCCGCCAGTCAGGCCTTACCAATGGGAAACTGTGAAGGCGCGGGTTGGGCTTGGTATTTTGTACCAACCTATCCCGTGTGAAATACGAATCGACCAACTGGGCTGTAAGACATGTACAAACACTCCCGCAAAGAAAGGGCAGTACACCATGTCAGTTCGATCTAAGATGCTGTTCGCCACCCACAGACTACCAAGGTATACAGTCACCCTTTTGGGCTCGAGATTCCTGGCAACCGTCAAGCCAGTGACCTTGTCCCAGCTCGAATGCTATAAGCGTTGAAGCTTAGTCGTGTTAAGATATCGAGGCGCGTGGACGTGTTTGTTTATCTTGTGTATATGGGTATGTGTGTGTGTCATGTTCGAGGGGACCCCCTTTTTTCATTGTCAAGGGACACACAAAGGAAAACCGCCAGTCTGGGGAGCCTTAGAAAAAGACACACCAATTTGTTTGAGTGATAACTTTTTTTGCCAAGCCGTGAGGAAGTTAGAGATAGGAACAGCAAGGGCTGCCTTGGACTACTCTGAAAATACAAAAAAGCAGGCAGGCACTTCTCTCCAATCGTTTACATCGAAGAACGGCAACTCATGCCAACATCCCCATCTATTGTGCGCATGTCGCTTTGGGTGACTGTTTCAACCGTAACACGCAGTGAAGTGGACTGGCGCCACTGGTAAGACTCTCCTTGTTGTTGATTGAGTTTATTTGAAAGCTAATGGTGAATGGAACCGGTGTTTTTTTTTGCTAGCCCCGGCTCGGGATTAACCCCGGCTAGGAGGCTGGCTGGTTGGTTGCTTGCTTGCTTGTTGGTTTGCTTGCTTGTTTGCGTGCTTGCCTGCTTGCCTGCTCTTGCCTGCTTGCTTGCCTGCTTGCCTGCTTGCCTGCTTGCCTGCTTGCCTGCTTGCCTGCCTGCTTGCCTGGTTGGTTGGTTGGTTGGTTGGTTGGTTGGTTGGTTGGTTGGTTGGCTGGGCGGCCGCATCCCCAGCATCCCCAGCATCCCCAGGATTTCCGCTTTCTTGTCAGGGCTGCGTATTGTGCAACTTGATAATAGTTGACAGTTGCTGGGGCTAGCTGGCTGCATCGCCAGCATTACTGGCCTCGGACGAGAGCTGCCTGGTCTTGGGTTGGCACGGTAAAGGCTGGTACGCAGGATGCGGTTGGGAGGTTTTAAGGCTTTGGGTCGGTTTTGGCTTGGTTGGGGCTGATTTGCGCTAGGTGTGCGGCTGGTTTAGCCGCGGCTTTCGGGTTGCTTCAGGGCGTAGTTGTGCAAGTTTTCGGCTGGTTTGGGATTGGTTGCGGGGCGTTGGCGATGCCAACCTCTTTGGAGGGAGAATTAACAAAAAAAACACCTCAACCGTGGTGAATCACAGAATCACCTCAGGCATTACAAGCTGTTGCCACAAGTGCATGGCAACAGGTTTACATATTTATGTATATATATATATATATGTTATACTCACCCACACACACAACCCTGCAATCTACCTTTGTAGCAGAGTTTGTAGCCAAACAGGGCTGAATATTTTTGAAACTGCTGCGCCTGCCCAGTACTCGCATGGGCAATGGTTTCCGGTTGCTCGTTGGGGGAGCGGGGCAAGCGATGGGCATTGGTTGATATTGGCCGTACTTCTACATGATACGCCTTTGAAAAGGGCAAAAAAGCAGGTGGAATTGTCCGGCCTGAGAAACGATGCGACAAAGATATCAATCACTATTATCTGGGATCTGTTGTCGGAAGTTCAGCACGGCTTTTCCTCGGGAAGGAGTGGCCGCCGCTACAATGAAATGCGATGAGGCTGGCTGGGTTGCTTGCCCAGTTGGGAGGCTGGCTGGGTTGGTTGTCCAGTTGGGCGTCGAGGCCAGCGCGGTCTGTAAGACCCTGCTGGCTTTGAGGCTGGCTGGGTTGCTTGTCGGCTTTGAGGCTGGCTGGGTTGCTTGCCCAGTTGGGCCTCGAGGCCAGCAGCCTTGCCGTGTATTGCTGCTTGGCCCAGCCCTAGGCTTGGCGTCCTGCGCAGCAGTGGCACTGCTTGCCCTTGCTGGGCGCCACTTCCGCTCGCTTTGCGTGATCATACCCGCCTTCAAGCCGGTGGTCGCTCGATGTGTGGCATTGCCAAGCTCAAACGAGGGCCAGTGTTGTCGATACTTTGCTCGTGGCGATATTTGCACCCATCGGCTGCCCATGTCAGAGGGAGATTGACGTGGAGCCGGCTGTGATCAACGTCCCTGAAGAGGCTGTCGGGATCCAAGCCAGATGCAACACGAGTGGCGGATGATGCCGAAGTTGCTGGCCTCCAGCGTGGCGGCCGTGAAGCTGGGTCACACCGCCGCGTGCTCCAACAGCCAGTGTTCCTTGATTGAAGTCTTACTCACACTCTCCGGCAAGGGCGCTGCTCCAGTTGGATGACATGCCAACAGGCCACAGGCCGCATTGCTTCAATGCAAAGCAGCGTTGTCTACCCTCCCTTTGCAGACACAGACGTAGGCATGACTAGTTTTGGTGTTGGCGCACGCATTCCTACCAATCTACCCACAGCCCCCGTGGTGTGCCGGCACCCTCAACTTCCTGCAGCACGTGGTTTAAGTATGGCACCCTTTGCTAGTCAAGTAGCAGAACTCGTGTCGCCATACCTGACACGTGGTGACCTGCGTTTTTTTAAGAACGTGGGGCCGTGGTACCACGAGGGCGTGAGCAGGCAGGTCTGGAGGTTTGAGGTTTAGGATTAGGTTTAGGGTTTTAAGGTTTAGGTTTAGGGTTTTTAGGGCTTAGGTTTCTGCAGGCGGGTTTGTTTTTTTTAGGGTTTAGGTTTAGGGTTTTAGGGCTCAGCTTTAGGGTTGTCAGGGTTTAGGTGTAGGGTTTTTAGGGTTTAGGGTTAGGTTTAGGGTTTTAAGGTTTCGGTTTGTGGTTTTTGGGGCTTAGGTTTCTGGGTATCTGTGCTTGTTGTTTGTTTGACTGGCCGATATGCAGTCCTGGAGGTTTCTGCGTGGCCCCACGGCCGCTTATCGAAATCAGTTGAAGTTGTAATCAACTTTAGTTAAGACTGCGCAGCTCCCTGCCTGCAAAGCTCCCTCCAAAGCCCATGATAAAGCTGCGCACCTCCGAAACTCCTTGGAAGGCTCCTTGTAAAGCTCTTGCTACATGTGTGGATTCTCACTCAAGTCTTTTTGAACTGAATGAGGTGCGAACTCAGTTCAATCCTCTCTTGAAGGGGAATCGAGAGGGGGATTAACATTAACCAGTACAAGATGTAGAGGTAATAAGGAAGGAGTGCCAGTCGACTTCTATCTGCAATGGTAACAAATTTAGATTCATGAAGAGAACTTAACAAGGAAAGCCCAGTTATAATTACCAGTAGAGCCGGCGAAGCCGGTTGGCGGAAGTTCCGTAAAAAGGAACTATTGTTTTTTTGCTCTTTCTCTTCTTCTTTCACTTTCTTCTTCTGTTTGTCTTGCTCTCGCTCTTTCTCCTTGTTTACTACCCCATCTCTTTGTCTTTCTCTGTGCTGTGTCTCTTCTTTTTTCTTTTGTTTGTCTCTTCTTTCTTTTCCTTTTCTCTTTCTCAGTTTTTCCTTTTTCTCTAGCTCTTTCTCTAGCTCTTTCTCTAGCTCTTTCTCTATCTCTCCCTCTCTCGCTCGCTCTCTCTCTCGCTCTCGCTCTCGCTCTCTCTCGCTCTCTCTCTCTCTCTCTTTTTTTTTTTTTTCTCTCTCTCTCTCTCTTTGTCTCTCTCTCTCTCTCTCGTCTCTCTATCTATACATTTCCCAATCTACCTGTCCCTTAACCTATCTAGTCTATCTATCTATCGGTCTATCTATTTGTCTATCGACCTATCTATCTATCCCTCTTGCCTCTCTATCTCTTTACACATGATCATCTATCTGGCTATCGATCTGTTTATCTATATCCATTTATCTATTTATCAGTTCTGTTTCTCTTTCCTTTCTTTCTCCATCTATTTGTTTTCTAGGTGTTTTTTTATCGATGTATCTACATGTCGTTAACTCATCTGTCAAAATCACAATCTAGCTTCCTAGCCATCTTCTGCGCCCGCCGTCCGTCAGGCGTCGCGACGGAGGTTGGAGACGCCAACACACGCAGAGGGTCGCTCTTTCTCGTGTTTTCTCGCATGCGTTCATTGTTGCTCATCTAACCTGTGCGCAAGACCACCTTTCAATGAGTGTCCAGAACGCGGAAATTGATTCTAAGCTTCCTTCAGCTATGTTAATTGAAATGTGAATCCCTGTAAATGAGGCGAAAATTTATATACTAGGTTTGTGATAGGTTTGAAGAATGCAGCCGGAAGCGGGCCTTTGCATTTAGAATCGGAGAGTTCTGAGGAGCTTGAGGAGGAGCCTTAGGGCTTTACAGTCACCCTCATAAAGGGGGTAGAAAGGGAGCTTAAAACGGAGCCTTTCAAAGGAGTGTTTGAACCGCTTGAGCCAAGACTTGAAAGCCAGTTGTCGGATTTGAATTTAGAACTGGGGATCAAGTTTTATCTGCCCTTATCGCATGCGTTAAATTTCACTCTGGTTTTCAACTAAGTCACTACGGTTTGTTTGTGTTTCGGGGGCGCACTCCGAAACACCACAAGCAACTGCGGCGAAATCACAAAAACAAACCACCTACAAGAGACCCAAAACAAAAACACAACTCAGAGGACAAGTGTTGTTTTGCCAAGATTTGTTTGGTGTTTCGGTTTTTGCTCAGTTGTTTCGTGTTTCGTTTTATCTCTCCAACAAACCAAAGAAGCTCGATGTTTCGTTTTCCTTCTGGCACTCGCATAAAAACAAAAATGACACAAGGTTGTTCATGTTTTCTGGCTGAAGCTCACCAAAAAACAGAAGACTATATTTTCATTTTTTGGTGGGGCAACGCGAAGCACAAAAACATGCAGGCAAAACCCAAAATCAAAAGGAGCGCGGAAAATGAAAATCAAAGCTTTTCGCACAACGAAAGCATTTTTTTTGGTGGGGGGAGGGGGTGTTGTCCCTCATTTGTTTGGCTTGTTTTGCTGCATTCCTTCTGGCACTCACAAAAGCAACATAAACCTCGAGTTTTCTTGCTTGGCCTTTTTCAGCAAAAGCGAAAGCACACGTGGAATCCGGTTTTTGTGTTGTGGCTAACACTACCAAGTTTTGTTGTTTTTTCAGCAGAAAACCAAAACGCAATGTGTTTAAGGCTTTGCTGGCTGACACTCACCAAAGACCAAAAGCACCGGAGTTGCTTGGCTATTTGGAGGGACAAAGCGAATAACATCACTAAAACTGTTGGAAAACCACAAGAAAACGAACAAATGAAAAACAGAGGCAGAACGTTGGCAAAACCGAAGCTTCTCCTAGCAGCTGTGGGTTTTGTATTCGGTTCTTTGGTCCAGTTGTGTAGCCAAGTAATTACCCAAAAAACATGCTCACAAGGTAAACATGCTAAGAAGTGGTTTTGCTTCAAACAAGCACAGCCGTGAAACACAGTGTTTTTGGGCATGTGTTGGATTTGCGTGTATTTCGGTTGGCCCCGTCAAACACAATGTGAAAGCAAAAGACCTTTAACCACACGGTGTTTGTTTTAAAATGTGTTTAATCATGTTTCATTCAGGGGAGGCAAAGTGAAGATAGATCACCACATGTAGATATATATATACATATATATATATACACACATATTTTCATACAATGTGGTCATGGCTGGATGAGCTTGCCACTTTGCTGTTTAAAGCCAAAGTAGAGTGGCAGATCGCGATCCAAGTGGCACTGGAAGCCAATGCCGCTCCATGATTAAACCTACACCGAACCAAGCCACCTTTATCCAGTTTGGTTCGCCGGGGCTAGTAAGGTTTGCCTGTGAAAGCTGGAATGCGCTCTAGGTCACGTTCAGTTGAGCAGTTCTCGTCTCTTCCGATGTTTAAGGGCCTAAGGATGATGCCGAGCCAGATTCTTGCTCGCTTCCTCGACTTCAGTCACTTTTTGGTTCTGGACAATTTTGGCAGTCATAAAGTTTTGACGTTTTCCAGGCAATCCACTCAAGTGGGGTTGGGTAGCGGGCAACTGGACTCCGATGGGCAAGACTCAAGGTGCGCGATGCGATCGAGGTACAGGCTGGCGATGCTTTAGCTGCGTAGGTTTGGCTGGTTTGGTCAACATATCCTGATTTTTGGGACCATTCAGGAGTTGGAGGGGGACGAGCTTGATTTTTCCCACAACCAGAAAACAGGCCCAGAATTTGTTCGGGGCATGAGTAATTTTGACCTTGGCCCATGCGGGAATACTTTGAGGGTCCCTTTTTGGGGTCGATTTAGAGCATAACCCAAAGACCCTATCCATTGTGTTTGTTTTATGAGACAAGCCCATGCACAGCAAAGTCTTCTCTCAAATGACCATTAACCGTTAGACAACGGATTTACTCGCCAGAATCTGATGTTGGCTGGGGATAGGGATGGTCCCAGGATATGTTGAAAGTTTTACGGGGACATCGCGGGGAAACGATCGCCAATTTGAAGCGTACATGAATGACATGCAGACGGACCAAAATTGACTCCATGCTAGTGTTTGGATGCAGGGTGTCAAGTACGGTCCTTCGAGGCGATGCTAAGTTGAGTTGAAAGTGAAGACTCATGGTTGCTGCTTGGGGGGGAGGTGCATCCAAAGTAAAACCCTTGTATTTGGTCGATGTCCATCTCATCGGAAACAAGCACACCACGTAAGATGCTGGTTCACCTTGTGAACGGAGGGGTAACATAACGGGCCGCAAAATTACGGTGCCGTATTCATAGCTTTTTTCTAGAAGGCGTATGTTTGGTTTTCAAGTACACCACGACCCATTGCAATCATTTAGCCTTTTATACTAGTCCCTGTGTGGGTTCCAACCTAATACCTACCATCCAAGACGACATGGAACTAGTTTCTGTTGCTTTGGGTTCCTGACTTAACTTGAAACCAAAACAAACAAACAAACAGTTGTTGTTGCTTTTCTACTGGTTGAATTGATTGATGACACTGGCGGCAGTTTGGCTCTAACCCATCCCTGCAAAACCCAAGGCTACGGTTTGAGCGGCTTTCAAAGCCATTCCGGGCTTGCGACCTTGTTCTCTGCTGGCTGGGCACCGGGTCACTGGCACCCGCGCAATGCGGAGGTGGAAGAGCTGAAGCCTGCGCCAGTGGAGGTGTGGACGGGGTCGTGTTGGCCAGCCACGAAGCAGCTGAGCGTTGTGGCACATAAACCTCTGAGTCTAGAAATCCCTGTTTTCGGTTGCCGGCTCTTGTGTTAAGTCGTCCTTTCTTGTGTAAAGTTGTCCCTTTCGGGTGTCCCCATGCAGCAAAAACAGAGCCTTGCCACCAAACGCATGTTCCAGCGCTTCTGGCTTGAAGCATGTCATTGGTGTCCCCCTGATCGGATTTCCTTGGATCTGCGCTCTTTGGTATTGTTTCTGATGGAATTTGCTGTTGACATAGTGAGGTTCCGACTTGATCCGCGCGGACGTGACTGAAAACACGAGCAGGTAGGTATGCATGCTGCATCCCTGCCAAGCTGGCTGAGCCTCGATTTGTGTCCGCTAGCACCGTTATCCGGACTACCCGGGTGTGGCTCAAAATTAAACAGGAGGGGCAAACCGCAGGTTTTGGTCCATGTTTCCACTTACCAGGGTTCCAATTTGGTACCGGTTTTTTGAGCCACAGCCACTCCGAGGATAACACTATCGCCTTGATCATTTGCAGTATAACAATTGTGGCGCTCACCCAGGATGACCATCTTGGATTGCAGATTGGTGATTTACATGGGCATGGATCAAAAAGAGAAACCGCCAGGAATTGGGCCGTAGGTTTTAGTCCATGTTTAACAGAACTCCATTTTGGCTGGGTGAATTATGGCGACCTCGCACGACCACACCCCAAATGGTGGTTTATGTGGGGAATAGCCCCCCAAGCACCTTATTTCAGGCTTGTGAAATATCATAATTCACCCATATTTTGGGGTTACCCAATTTTGACCACCACAGCCGCTTGCAACATGTCCCCGTTCTTTCCAGCCGCCGGCCGGAGGAGGTTTCCAAGCCGGAGAGCTCGGCGCCGGACAACGTCACTGAGGACACGTCTGCGCCAAATGCGGACGCGGTCGCGAAGGCCGAGGACAAGTTTTGGCAGGCCCCTCGGAAACCAAAATGAGTCAAGGAACGGAAACCAAAATCAGTTTCACGGAACACGCCTCCAAGCCAAGCGGTTGGCGAGGCGTTTTTGTTCACTGAGCGAAAGGATGGACCGGATCTTTGGGCTTTGAGGGCTTTTACGTTTTGTGGCCCATGTTTAGTCATGGCCCCAGAAGGTGTATCTGTTATTTGTGGGTCCTTTGGGCAACTGAGTTTACGCTTTGACCGGTTTGGCTTACTGTGGAAACATGACATATCCTTCTGCCAGTGAAGCATCGTGTTGCCGGTCGTCAGGTGCCCTTTGTCCAAGCATGGAAGTTGACAAGGGCCTCAAGAGAATGGTAGGAATGGGCTGAAAGGCGCCACATTGAGCGCCTAGCTTTCCGAATTTGGTTGAAGGCATCCCTTCAGAATCCCTAGGTGTCCGAGCCGGAGGTTTTGAAAATCACCTGTTGGGGCCTTTCCTTTTGGTGGGGTGATGGTCAAGGGGGGGCATATTGGGAGCTGAAAGCTGGGGGTCTCCGCCCAAATGGGTTCCGGAGTGGTTCGGAGCGTTCCCCCGGCGTTTTCAGGTTTCAGATTGGTTGAGGCCTCCGGGGCTGTTGTGGATGCCACCTGTTCTCCGTGTTTTTGTTGGAGGCGATGGGGGTTTCTCTTCAATGTCAACAGCAAAGCAGGTGCCCTTTTTACCCAAAGTTGGCTTTCTTGTGTTGACATCTTTGGAGATCCCTTGCATTTGTTGTGGGAGTTGGTGGCCTGTTGTCTTCATATGCATTCTCGAAAAAATGCTGTACCCTCCATGTTTGTTTCAACGCGAAACCATCCCCACAAGAAATTGTGAGAACCTTCAAGTGTTCACCTTACCCTCTTTGCAATCACGGAAGTGGGCAGGGGTTCCCCAAAAGGAATGTAGTCTTCCAAATCCTTCCGATTAGCTTCCACAATTGGTTGGGGGGAGGGCAACGGATCCAATTCGCGGATCGGTTACAATACTTGAACTACTCTCCTGCTAATAGGGAAAAGCTTTTAAGAAACACATATCTATTGACATTTCCAATTCTGGCCTTATCCTTCGCAATGCGTGGTGCCCGCCCGTTCTCATGGCCCCGAAAATTTATAAACCTCGAGCCCGACTCCGACCTTCTTCTTCGCTTCAAGTCCGCTTCAAAGCTGCGCTTTTCACAGCGGCTTTGGACTTCTTTGGGGCTCTTTGGACTTCTTTGGTGCTGGTTGCCCCTCAAATAAGTTTGTTTTTATGGTTCGCGCATGGGTTCACATCTTCCGCCCTTTAAGGGCTGTAACTTCATGTTTGCAGAGCGTGGTCCACCAGTACCGGCACGTTCGGGCTGGATTGTCAATCACAGGAGAACCTGACCACACAAAAGACTCACAAAAACCGTGTTATTTGCAGGGGTCACTGGATGTCCCTTCTAAGTTTCAACTTGTTGTGTCCATTGCAAGGATTGCCACTTTTGGAGGTTCCACAATTAAAATTGAGAAAACTCTGAAGTTAACCAAGGGTTAGGGTCATGGTATCCTTTTCCGGTATGCTGTTGCGGCCGACATTTGCCGAAGTTCCGAATGGTTCTCACAGGGAGTGCATATGTGGAAATTGTTTATGTTTACACATGGGTGTTCAGTTTTGAGGGGCAACCATTTTTGGGGTGGTTTTGAAGGGCAACCGAAAGGATCACCATGTGGGTGGTCCATCATTTTCACGGCCGGTCTCTAGCGTGACTGGATGGAATGATTTTCCAGTAAGCCTACAAGGGCGGGGAAGACAACCCAGTTTTGCCACAGCCCATATTTGGGTTTCTGTGATTCCTTCGGATTTGGAATGCCGGTTTATGCCCATGATTTTGTGAGTGTTTCTGAGTGCCTTGATTTGCACACGAACGCCTGGCCAGTGTTCAAGCATACCTTCTCAAGCGCGGGAAAGCAAGAAAAGCTGTGCTGAAAGAAGCCCAAATTTGACCAGCTCTCTTCAGTCTCGCTTCAATTCAACTTGAAATGGGTTTAACCTCAAAAGTTCGCTTTGGCTGCGGCGTCATGGGCCTTGAGCAAATGAGACCGGAGGGGCGGGCCCATGTTAGAAAAAGGCACCTTTTGAGTTTTGCTTGAAGGGCAACTATCAAGGAACTCCATCGTCTCTGGGGCTCCCAAATGGAAACCTGGGCGCCCTATTGGGTTAGTTTGGTTGAACATATGTGAGTTTGCTTTGAGTTTGGCTCTAATCATGCTCTAGGGAACCCATCTATGTTTTCTAGCAGGACGCCTAGAAATGCCAGCTTATTCAGGGATAGCAGTCCTTGCCCCTCATTTTGTGGAGAACGCCATTTCGGTTGGCTTCAAAAGGCAAACCGCAAAAAAACCAAAGACCATGACGGATTGAGGCTATCTTCCGAGAGGAGGACTCCAACCTTTATATGGACTACTTGCCCAGCAAGCACGTCCCTGGGGGTGCCAGTTACAAGATCCGTATCACCATGGAGATTTCCCTCACTGTGGAAGACGCACCCTTCACGCAACGGATGGGTATGCATTGTTTTTGGGACTCCCCAAAATGGTGTGCTGTTCCTTTTTGTTTCCCTTTGAATCGACCTGAAAAAGGGCGCAGACCCCTCAAAAAGAGACACACCCAGCGGGCATATCGTGGTTTTGAAACAGCCTACAGTTCGAACTGGCATGGATTTGCCCTTCCGGTTACATGCAACCATGGGTGTAGAAGAAACGTTGTTGTCCGTGATTGACATGGAACCCGAAACCCATGGTTTTGGGTCTCTTCCTGTTTTTCTGTTTTAGGGTACGCTATAGTGACAAAATCTAAAGAATCTAACAACAAGTGTCTTGTTTTTGCGTAATGTAGGGTAGTGATTAACAAAAGGCGAAAGGGGTACAAAAATGTAGGTTTGCCTTAAAGGCCAACATACGTCCTTTGTAATCGGGGGGCACCTGCACACCTGTACTCAGGATTCCAGTATTGTCTAGGGTTCCCCACCATGATATACCAACGTCCTACCTGATCCTACCTGCATGGGTGCTAAATGATGTCTTCATGTCGTGCTGGTTGTGTCATGTTTCCGCGCTGTCGTGGCCGTTTATTTGGCACCGTATGCCACAATATTGAGGGTATGGTCTGGAGCCAGGAGGGTCTCCTTTAGATTCTAGGGTAGAACTGGGTGTGTCTTTTTTGAGGGTACCCTCTTTCGTGATTTTAAAGGGAAGCCACCATGAAACCGACTTTTTTGGAGCTCCCCCAAAAGCAGAGACATGGAAATATGAAACATCATCTGCACAACTATGTGCTCTGTGCACCGGCTCTGGGCAGCCAAGGCGGTGATGTGCTTTATGGACTTCTCCCCCAGGAAACTGAACTATGCCACGGACTATCGCGACATCAAGGCGCCTTTGAACTTTCCCAGAACTAGTTGCCCTTTCTTTTTTTTGCTGTTTGGGGTCCCCTTTGTTTTCAATTAACCAGGCAAACATATTGTTTTTTTTCGCTGGGGTCCTGGTTCCAGCCAAGTAAAACCCAACAGCTGAAGGGCTATGGGCTCCAAAGCCCCGGCGGTATGGCAGCTTTCAAGGGTCCGGAAAAGTGGGATAACCGAAGCCTGTGGAAGCAACAACGCCTTGTTTTCCAGTGAGCACCAGAATAATCCACAGAGGGAAGCTGAAGACTACAAAGTGTCCCCTTCTTGCGGATGGTCATCAACCAGGGTTCCCCTGTCCCCATTGGGGTTGGGTTGGTTTAAACATCACCTGGTTGCCAGTTTCCTGACATCCCCGCGCGCTTCTGTGCAGTGAGAGGTTGAAGAACTTTATTTGCTGCCTTTTGTGAAATAAGCTAAGTATGTTTTAAAGTCGCTTCATCCCGTTGTAATCACACGCCGTCACCATTGATTGTTTAATCGTTTTCGAGAAGAAACAAAACATTTGCCGTGGACAAACCATGGACACACCGTGGAAAGTACGTTTTTCAGCGTGGAAAGACATTTAAAAGCGTGGAAAGTACATTTGAAAGCGTGGACAACCATACTCCCAGGAGCCCACAACGCATGCCTGATCGGCAGCGATCCCCCGAAGCCACTAAGTTTGCAGCATTTTTCAGAAAAGCCGGACTTCAGTACCAACATGCGAAGAATCTATGCCATATATACGGTAGGCGGGACACCTGGCGATTTTGAAAAGTGGTGCGACCATACATTTGGCAAGCCGGGGAATGGTTGGCTTGGGTGCAGTCACCTGCAGCTGGGAGGACGAGGGCGGCGTGACTGTCATTGACCTGACCCTATGCAATTCTTGGGCAACAAAAACCATGATTTCTTGGATGTTCATGATGTTCAGGGCCAGGCGCAAAAAACGATCTTTCGGCCAAAAACCGTGCAGCGACCTCGACCAGTCTTTTCATGGCCTTTGGAAGCCTAGGGTTTATAGAAATACAGGGAGCCCTGTGTCCCTCGGAAGGCTCTTTGCCCAAGGGGGTGGGCTAGGGACTCCAGTCATGCACAAATTCAATTGGTCTAGGGCAGCATTTGGCCGTGGCTCGAAAAACCGGAATTCCAGAATGACTTGCCCTGGTAAGTGGAAACATGGACCAAAACCTGCGGTTTGCCCCTCCTGTTTAATTTTGCGCCAAACCCATTTGCTCCCAGAACAAAATTGGGACGATGATTTGTCGGATGGTTGCATGATGCTTGCGTGGGGCTGCCTGAGGCTGCCCACGTGACTTTAGCCCTTGACCTTGCCCATCCAAACACCATGCAGGGGCCCAGGATGCTGATGTGGATTCGCAGCACCAGCAACGACTCTTGTTGCAAGATGCTGTCCTGCGAACCACATGGCCAGCGTGTGAGATTCGAAGGCTTCGGGGTGAAACAAACACGCCATATTGCAAGGTTTCTTGTGGCGTTTTGTCAAAGGAAACGGTGGAAATGAACTGGAAATCAACTTCTTGTTCTTGTGAGACTTTGCGCAACTCTGGCGCCAGGGATCCCTCCCCGCATTTACAAGACGGCTGGAGTCCTCGTAGATCCTGAACCCGTTCCGTCGCTGCCCAAACTCACTCTACAATTCGCGCTCAAGCACGGGCGTTTCCGCCGAAAGGCAACTAGGAACTGGGGGAGCGGTCAAGGACTGCGTTTATGCAGGGAAGCTCGGACACATGCACGACTTTGCGCCCCTCCTAAAACCCTCAGAAACTTTTGCAACACCCGAAACCCTATCCGGCAGCCATGGAACGCCGGAGCCTTCCCAAAACTTCCGCAACCCTACGAAACTATCCGGCACCGTATCCAACAACTGGATTCCCCGGAACCTTCTGGAACCGTCCGGACCCTCACCGGCACATTGCCGGCCAACACATGGCGGCGAAGTACCAGCAGCTTTGTGAGACGCCTTTTGCCTTTGTTCTGACTTGGCAAAAGGAAGCCGTCGCCGTTCAATCAGTGTCCTTTGTTTGGCCACCCGCATGTTTTTTGTCTGTGTGTGTCTTGCTTTGAGGCTGCCGGGCCTTTGAAGGAAAACCAAACCATTTGAGACCATCCTAGGGACCTTGCGTGAAGCCTGCCGAAACTAACTGGGAGTGGTCTATGAAGTGAATGATTCCCTCAATGGACATCACCATCAAACTCAGCAAGCCGGACGTTGTTGATCGGTGACACCACCCTATGCTATGCTGGCTATCCAATAGTTTCAGAGGTCCTTAGTTCCGGTCCTTCCCGAAGCCATGTTGATTCCTTAAGAGCCAAGCTGCGTAGTTGGGGGGCGCACAAAAAAACATACTTATATACTTATAATACAAACATATGAGTATATAGATATACATTCCGACTCTGCATTTAGTATACCAACATATGACATTTGATGACCCCAGCTTATTTGTTTTGGGGCTCGCAGGTGGACCAGATCTTGAAGCAGAGCGGGAACCTCCCTGGAGGGATCCCTGAAGAGAGCGCCGCGACGTGGTGGCTTCCTTTGGTTTCAATCGAACCCAGAAGGGCTTCCAGTTTGCCATGTTTGTTGACTTATTTTATTGTTTTTTGTTTTTCGTTTTTTTTTGTTTCTTAATATATATATATATATGATTGGTTTAATTATTTATTTATGTATTTGTTGATTATTTATTTATGTATTTATTTATTGTTGTGTCTATGTATTGATGTATTCATTTATTTATCTGTTGTTGTTGTTTTTTTTGGGGGGGGGTAGGGTTGAGAGGTTGGGGGATTGGGGGTGGGAACAGATACCGGGTGACTCCTCTTTGTCACTTTTGCGGGAGGCGGTTTCCCTTTGAAGGGAGCTTCAAGTGGCCATGGAAAGTTGGGTTTGGGACATAGGCAACAAGGCTGAGGGTTTGTTGCAGGCAAGATCTGCGCAATCAGACATTGCCAGTTGCTTTTCAGAGATAAACATAGATTACATGGATTTCCCTTTGGAGTTTTGACACGGGGCGGCAGGGGGTGGGGGGGAGTGAGTCAGGTTTTGCAATCTTTCCCTACCACTTTGTTTCGGGCTTGCGAGGATCCGGCGTGGAATCCCTCTTTGGGGAGGTACTGTAATCCCTCCAAACCGCCCCCTCGCAGGGCCTCAACCCCTTCCAATTAACCCCCCCAAGCCCTCAGCCAGAGACACAAAGGGGGTGGAACAATGGGGGGACCAGGCGGTAGTGATGTTGACCTACCATATTTAACCCACTAGCTACTAGATCATCGTAATTCCCTTTTTGCCCGCGAAGACCCCCTGGTTATTGTTGCTTCCTCTTCCGGCAGGGGTCAGCCGTTTACATCGGGGCCCGGGTATGTTCATTGAGCCTCAACCATGTTTGTTGGGATGAAAATTCGGGGGCTTTTTGGCGGACACACCATGTAGGTCACCCAAGAGCCAATTCAATTTCATAGCTACGTGAGCTTGTGGTGCTGCCAAGGTCACCTTGTTTGAAACTATATGGTGCTGGGTTCAGTTTAGTTCTGGTTCTGGCCACTTGCCTGTGCCATCGATGTTTTTCTCCAAAGAGGTTGACTGTCCACTTCGGGGTATCTCCCTAGTAGTCTTGGCTGCGATTTGGTTGGATCTTTGACTTTTCACTTTTTGGTATTCTCCAACCAAGCCCCATTTTTTTGTTTCATTAGCGCCTTCCATGTCACAGAGTAATCTACCAGGAGGTGTCTACAAGAAATGCGTGCCCCCCCACCCAAACAAAAAAATAAGATAACAGAACACAACACAGTAAGCTTGTTGGTACCACTCCGGGGTCAAACAAGGAACCACACCCACAAGGTTACGAGCCCAAAAAGCCCATGGGTAGAGGAACCTCCTCCTGGGGGGGGGCTTTTGGTTGGGTTTTCCCTTCCGTTCAGCGGGGGGCGAGCCCGAGACGCGGTAGGCATTGCCACGGTGAGCCCCAACTTCTCGGGCGTGCTGATGCTGATGCGGGCCTTCTTGCCCAAGACCTTTCCGGTGCGGCTCTGCTTGGGCCGGGACGACAGAGGCTACCACTTCATGCAGGAGACGAACACCTACTACGGATGGAAGAAAAAGAACACACCTGCTGTTAGGTAGTTATCCCTGAGGTTTGGTGGTTTGGGGATTTGAACCTTAGGTTCTTGTAGATGGTAAATGGGAAACACCTCTTCTTAGCCTCCCAACCACCAATCCAAACCACGAATCCAAACGAAGCTGATACTGGGGATTCTCGGGAGTGCGGCGCAGAATCACCGCCCGGAAAGGGTCCCTGTGTTGGCACATCAAGTTTTGGTTTGGGGTTCCTTGGTCAACGTTTGAGAACATCTTTCCCTTGACCAACGCGATGAAGAACCATCGATTCTAGATTCAAGGTGGGTAGGTTGACCACTGTTCGAGGTCTTTGACAGGCGATTGGTCAATCTCCACGGGTCTCCATCAGACACCGCCCTGGCCCAAGGCTTTGCCATGTTGTCTGAAAAGGATCCCTCGACAGGCAATAGCTTTCCCTTCAAACTTTCTATCCGATCGGGTCGAGTGAGAGCAACCTTGTTGCCAAGAAAGGCCTTTTGGAGGAACGTTCACGGTCTAGACAATCAGTTTGAGTATGGGACATGTGTTGGTGGAGGTTGTGGTGTGTGTTGTTCAAGGATGGTCTGCAAAGGTACTGTGGATCATTCCCCTCCCCCCCCACCCTCCCCCCCTCCCACTCGTACAAAGACCAACTTTGCAACAGCCCCCGGGCGGGGGGAGGGAATTTTCACATGGCTTAACCGGGTGACCTGGCGGCAGCCTGACAAAAGCCCATCGCACCACTGAGACACAATGGAGGCGCTATTGAGGCACTGCGTAGATTCTTGAAAATCTGTGCATGCCATTGGGGTTGAGCGCTATTGAGAGTTAGTGAGGTGTTGTTGAGAGTGATTGAGAGTTATTGAGGCTTCATTCAGCGTTATTGAGGTGTTTTTGAGAGTTGTTGAGGTGGTATTCAGGCGCTCTTACGGTGCCATGTGATGATGCGCTAGTGAAATACAGTTGATCTATTTGCAGCCTGCTCCGGATACCTGGCCAACACCCTGCACTGCCCGCCAATCTACTTGGGCATCCAGCTTTGATGGTCAATTGTTCCGGGCTATGAGTGTTTGCAGTTTCAGTGTAAAGCTTGTTGAGAACACCCCGGCTGCAACCTCAGAATTACCTCAACTGCAGTTTTGAGAACAAAAGCTTATTGAAGCTTACTGGCTTGTTGAAGCTTAGTACCCCTGAATCAGCAACAAGCACCTGATTGAAGCTAAGCAAGCCTAATTCAGGTTAGTTTTGGTGAGACCTAAGGGTTTGGAGGCTGCAAGCCGGGAGGGGAGTGAGTGGACCCCCGTGTGGGCAAATGATTATCGCAAGCAGGTAAATCCACTCATTGTGAGGGGATATGCGCTTAGTATGCTCATAGACCGCATGTCACCCAGGGGTTATCCGCAAAGAGGATTCGCAGATTGGACCAAGGCAACATGTCAAAAGCACCAAACAACAAACACATGGTTGTGGGGAATCCCAACTTCTATGATTCCCCTGAAAGGCTTTATGTATTGACTAGTTCTGTTCTCAAAGTTTCAAGTGCTGTATCGCAAACATGGGCGTTATGAGCCCTACCTCCTGCGACTCCAATCTGGAAACATGCGCTTCCAAGCCCGGCTTTTGCAGCCAGCGAAACCAAGGGACCCAAAAGTAGAATCCTTCCCTGAATGGTCCATCTGTGTTCATTCTCAAATGCAGCAAATAGCCAGGAGACGCTGGGAGCAGACGGCCACCCGGACGGGAGGACCAAGAAGGAAGGAAGCATCTTGCCGCATCCGACTGACAAGCAGAAGCTTGGCAGAAGATACAGCTACAGAAAGGCCATCTCCAAAATCTCTGCTGGATCCAAAGGCCATCTCCATTCCTTTGTTACCTTACCGGCTTGTCAAATTCAGAGAAGCCGATGGCCCTTTGGGTAGATTAGATCAGTTTGGAGCAGCGCAGCTGCACGTTGGGCTCTTCTCAGTCCTTTGAGATGTTTCTCCCCAGCCTCTACGTTTTGTTGATAGATCAACCAGTGAAAGGGGACATCACGAATCTAGTAGCTCGTGGGATTGAACATGTGTCTACAGGAAACCACAAGGAGCTGAAGAATTGTGTTCTTCCAGAGGCGATTTGTGGCATCCAGCTTTTGATTTTGTCTTTTTCTTTGGGCAAGAGGCGCCTGGGGTCAGGTCACCCTCAAGTGGATCGGGGATCTCAACATGGGAAGATATTCACTACCTGGTTCATGGGTGGGATTTCTTCCCACCGCAAGAGCCAGGGTTTGAATTGGGAATCCCACAAATGTTGGCTTTGCTTTGATTCTCCCTCCAAACAAGGATGCACCCATATATGGGCCATATGGGTGTTTTTTGTTTGAGGTTACCTTTTTGGGGTTGGTTTCGATGGACACCAAAGACGAAAGCCTCAGGGTGCGGTGCCCCCTTCGCGCCTCAGGAAGTGCCTCATCGTGTCTGTGAACGAGGCGGACGAGTCTCTCCCAGTAGGTTTCCACGAAATCAGTCACCGCGCAACCTCCGGGAAACTGGAAAGGGATTTGGGGAACAGATCTTAGGGGGAAAGGGGGGAAAAGATCTTAGGGGGAAAGGGGGGGAAAGATCTTAGGGGGGAAGGGGGGAAGGGGAACAGATCTTGGGGGGGAAAGGGGGGGGAAAGATCTTAAAGGGTGAGCCAAGAGAGTTTCATGACCTTTTCACGAGCTTTGCTAGAATCCCCACTTCTCCAAGCATCCCCGGGCCGTTTTGCCAAGATCCCAAAGCCTTATGGGCGAGTGCTTTCGAGGAACCGAAGCCCGGTTTTCCTACTGGTTCCCTTTAACACCAAAGAAAGGGTACCGAAGCTCCCAACAAATAGTCATACCCTTTGACGGCTCTTGCTTGCAGGAGGACTTGGTGTGGTTCAGCCTGGGTTTATAGTGGTTATAGTGAGGGCTGCAAGAACTATTTATAGCCATAAGGTGGAAGCACAAGGACATGTCCATTATAATCATTATACCTTTTACAACCTTTATAAGCTTCATGATAACCTGTACGATCTGTTTCACCCGTTTGCAAACTTCATGTCCAAACTGTTTCACGTGTTTCTTTGTGTTTCTTCCTGGCCATTTCTTTTCGCTGTGAGCTAATCATGGTTGTTGTTGGGACACATGTTTCCCATTTTTGCTTATTGCGGTTTAGTGGTTGAAATCCAAATCCACTGAACTGCAAAAGTCTTTTCATGTTTGCTGCCCAAAAACCCAACCGTCAACCAAGTGGAACCAACCCCAAGCGCCAAACCGCCGCCGATTTCCGCGGCGCGGCTCGCCGCGGCTCAGCCGCGAGGTCACCTCCTGGGTGCCGGTCTGGGCCGTGAAGCTCACGGCGCCCAAGGTCAAGGGCCACCTCCTGGCGCCTCGGTTTTTTGAGTCGAGCCGAGTCGGATGAGTCGGAGCCAGGGGTGGAAGAGGGAGCCCGGGGAAAAAATCGAGGGGAAATTTGTGGTACCTCGTGGTTTGTTGGAACAAATCGAGGGGAAGTTTGTGGTAGTGCCTGGTTTGTTGGAAAATTTCGAGGGGAAGTTTGTGGTAGGGCCTGTTTTGTTGTGTTTGGAGACATCATCTTGCAGGGGGTGAGGGGTAGTTTGTGTTTTGTGGAATTCGGAGAAATCATCGTGCAGGGGCTTTGTGTTGTGTTCTTTGAGTGAACCCCAGGGAAACCCCAAGGAAACCCATGAGTTCAACCTGAGCCAGTGCCCGGTGCCCGTGGAATCGATGCACCTGGGTGGACAGCATCCTGCGCCGGTGGGTGGAACAATTTTACCCAGTCTTTGCAGCGTTTCATCCATCCTAGGTGCAGGAGTTTGTCCTTCATGTTTTTCCGGCCACTAAGATATTTTGCATGACGATAAGCGCATGTAATCCTGCAGGATCTCGAAAAAGCAACAAGTTGCTGAATGTTGCAAATTGAGGTGTTCACCGGGCTAGGGTGTTTGCTTGGAGTGATAAAGTTCTGCACGTCACTACCTAGATTTACTTATTTGCATGAACCCCAAACATATACATGTACATGTGCTTGTATTCAGAAAACATGCTGAGACACATGCACATAATACTTGTCTATACATATATGTGTATATCAATATTACACAGATACTGTAGATGCATATGCACATACGTAGATGTGTGAACATGTACAATCCCGTATTTGCGTATCATACCACGATACATATTAACATCCAGCTTCTTCGCAGTGACCTCGATTCATTCATTTTTTGGGTGCCATGATCCATTTTGGTAGTAAGGTCACGTAGTCCCAAGTCAAAGAGGTCTCACTTAAGCCATTTACAGGGCACTTAGACCCTCAAGCTTGCGCTCACCAGCAGATCCCTCAGTCCGCAGCGGCACGTGAATGCGAATGAGACTCGCACGGGGGACCGACGCCACCGCGAATTGTGCCGCAGCGACACGCGAATGGCTCTCACGCAGGGGGTGCCGACACTGGCGTAGGTGCCCTTTTCAAGGGGTAAGTGACCTCGATTGGCACCCGCACTGATACTCAAATGACGTGCTTGGACGTTCGGGCCCTTCTGTGTCGGCCCCAATCAAATGTGGCAGTTTTCGCACTTCGACGCGGGTAGCTGTTCGATTTCAACAGGATCCCAACCCCATCAAGCCAAAAAGGGGACATAGCAAACGAATCAAAGGGGCACTTAGGGCACCGACACGGCCTCAAGTGGCCTCGATTCAAAGGCACGTCAAGCGCCCTTGGTTGAAGGGAACTAAACATATGCTGGATGTCATGATTTGTAAGATAGTGCATGCTTGTTCGGCATGTGTTGGAGTTGTGTAGGCGGGCTTTGCGAAGTAGAGCAATTGTTTTGATGTCTGAAACGAACCAACGCTTGCTAAGGCTAGCGACTCGAGCGTAGTCAGTGGCAAAATGTGGCAAACTTGTAGCCCCTCATGTTCCGTCCGAATGCACTGAGGAGTACACTGACCGCTACCGGGAGTACAAGAAGTCTCAGTGAGAGTCCAGCGCTCTTTGGGTACTCCAGTGAAAGAGTGTCGTGTGACTTTCAAAGCGCAGAACCTCGAGTGCTTGGGTGCTAAACAACCCACGGTTGTTGGAGGTTTAGTTTGGGAGACAGGAGCCTGCACTCTAAGAGTGCGCATCGCCGCCAAAGGCGGCGATGGGTCAGTTGCAGCACCTTTCAGCTCTCTGCGGCAAAAGAAAGGATATGGGTATGTGTGCAAATAGGGGGACCCACCAAAGATTGGGTTTTCTTTCTTGGTTTGCCTTTCAACCAGGCTTCCCAAAATAAGGGCCCCCAGCAATGCGCTGTGAAATCTTTGCACTGAAAACATTGGCTCAAGGATGCAAAGCAAGGCGCCTTTGTCCATTTGACATTGGGAGCGGAGCTGCGGCTCTAAGGTCTAGGCACCATTGGGTGCGCCACGGCGGCCGTGTCCGCAGAGCAGAATAGCGGAGGGATAAGTCAGCTGAACAACCGGGCTTCTTCGGCAGAAGGCAGGTAGCATTTAGCGGCTCGACCGGGTCAAACCTCAGAAATCACTGTGTTAGTCCAAAGACAGCCAGAAACCAAGTGGCGGAGATCCAACGGTCTGTGCAGCTTTTTTTGGTACTCAAAGTGTAGTACACACTGGAGCAAGTTGCCGTTGCATTGCAGGGTTCCGGTAGAAGGATGCATGTTGGCCAAATTGAAAGCCATTTTATGTGTTACCTGCTGTTTCATTTGACCTCCACATGTACCAGGTGACTTTCAGGTGGATCCTTCAAGGAACCCTGTTGCAACGATCGAGACCCTGTGGGTTCCACGCTGGAAAAGCGCCATGGACGACGATGATGCAGATGCGGCGCTTGAGAAGTTCTTTGAGGAGGCTGGGAGACGCCCGCTTGCAGGCCTGGGTCCCCCAGCTAGGTGCCCTTTCTCTCCCCTTTTTTTTCGGAGGGTTCCCCCACTAAAATAGACTACAGAAAAAGGGGTACCCGTATTCTATCCTCTCTACTGGAGGACCTGGCCAATTAAACATGGGCAGAGTGTGTCTTAAATCTCGGGAAGTCCCTTTGGAATAAGCATAACTTTGGAGGACCATCGGAGGACCCTCCCACAAATAGACATATGTTCCTTAAAAAGGGAGCCGCACCCTTTTCGTTCAGTCTGGATGTTTACAGCTAGAATGGAAACCTCGAAGCCGACACGGTGCAAAACCAACAATACCATTTTGGGATAGGTGCACGGATTGGGTCCCGTTCACTGTGGGTACGGGGTTTTGACCCATGGCCAAATGAATATGTTCGATGTTCCCTTGTTGGTTTTAAAGGGAATCCATCACCGGCTAGATGTTGTCATTCTTTTTAGGGGGCGAAAGAAGCAATTGGAAGTATATCAGTGTTCGTTGTGGCACAGCTAGAAAGAACTACTTTCTGCTTGAACATTTGTCTGCGTGTTTCCCAGCAACCAGCAAGAAGTTATTCACTTGTTGTCGCCAGGAGAATTGCCGCACAGTTGTGTGCGTGTGTGCTTTCAATGCTGTGGAGTGCACTTTCTGATGTATGACGGTTACGATTGTATCCTCATAGCACGCCCGCAATCGACATCAAGCATCCAAGATGATGTCCACTACGCCCAAACCACTACCTCCAGCAAAAAACAAGGTACATTCGTATCACTTACAGTGGCCACGTAGTAGCTCATGTAGCCCACCAAAGTTTGGTTTGGGAGTTGAACCCCTGTTAGAATCAAGCTGCTCTTTTGGAGGGTCCCGGGGTATATATGTGTGTCTGTGTGCTTGGATGTTTGTAGCTGTAAGGGGATTAACCCCAAATACCCCCAATTGCAACCCTGGCTAGAAGCTACTTGCTAAGCTGGCCGAACATCCAACGGTGGCACCCTTGCTTACTAGAAGGGACACCGATGCACACCACCCAGGAAAATCATGATGAGACCAATTCTGACACTTTCCCATGCCTGCAAGGTGAAGAGCAAGGTGGATTGGTGTTGCCTAGCACACCCAATTATTTACCTTCCTTTTGGGTTCCCTGACAATCCGTCCCAAGAGGGCCTCTCCAAGTTTTAGGTAACGTTTGAGCCACGGACAGTGTAAAGCCAGCAGTGCAGGCTCGCATCATTCCATCACAGTAATGCTGGAAAGAGGTAAATATGGAGCAGCTGTCAGAGGAGGCCAGCAGTATAGCGAGCACTGCAGAGCAAAATGCGCAGCATGCTTCCGGTGATGCAGGATCACAGAAGTGCGAACAATCAAGTGCGAACCCAATGATTGCAGCCTCAAGAGCAGAAGCTGATTTGCTCCAGTCAACCTAGAAACTAAGGGTAACCCCTCGCAAAGAACAGGAAAGCCTCAAGATGTTGATCTCAAACGGAGGGGAAAAAGGCTCTTACGCGCCGCTTTGACCTGAAAGCTGTTTGGTTTCCTAAAACAGGAACTCTCAGAAGTATGGGTGTTTTTTTTCAGAAAGTTCACGCCCTTTTGGGTGGTGAAGAGAAACCACCCAGAACACTGACGCCTTCTTTTTTTTTTGGTGCGGGGGGGGAGGGCTCCCCTGAGCGAAGAAGGACCCGCTCGTACGGGCGTTTGGTCGTTTTGCTGTTTGGGGCCAACCATTGGACCAAAGGCAGCTGAGGCCCGAGTCAGCTTCCGAAGTGCCAGGCTGACTGTGACTGGGGGCTCCATGTGCAAAAAGAGAAGGACACTTCCCCAGAATTCGTTCCCCTTTTATTGTTTTGCTTTTTTGGGGTCCCCTTTGTTGTCCACTAACCAGGCAAAAAACATATATATATATATATATATATATTTTTTGCTGGGGTCCTAGTTCCAGCCCAGGAAAGGGGTACACGAAATCATAAGCATAATCTGAACAGTTGGTTTCTTTGTGTCTCAGAGGTGCTCCAAAATGAACTGCACGGCATAGAAGATGTCAGCACGTCAACTGAAACAGCAGTATATAATGCACACGTCGCAAGGTCCACGAACCGGTATGTCCGCGTCCCTAAGTATTTGTTGGAAAACGGTCGGGCTATGGAACGCATGCTTCACACCCGGGCCTTCAGATCCACTCACTCGCAACATGTAGGGCTCGGTCCGTGGCGCCTGTTTGAAACTCCCGCGCCAGGATGCGCTGTTGGAGGCCTGGCGGATCGATTCCGGGTCGTCAGTTCAGGACTCTGTCGGGCTTCCCTTTGGGTTCCCTTTAAACCAAGGCGGCATTTGGTGCCCACAGAAACGAGGCACCAATGGAAGCCGACACGAGAGGCTTGAAAGGTTGTGAACCTCTCGACAACCATTTCCTTTTGGGGCATCTGCTTTTGGGGCTGGAGGCCGCAAAGGTCTCGACCAGTCAGCTTTGCTTCGGGTGGGACAAATACAAAGGCGCCACGATGTTTCTAAGCCACACCTTCCCATTCTGCAGAGCTAAAACAAATTTCCCCCAAAGTGGATGCAAAAACAATTTTCTGAGCGGAGGTGCGGACTTTGGTTTTGGTTGAGTTGGAGGTGACTGTCCGAGAAGCTTCCGAGAGGATGACAGCGTTTCCCTTGGCTGTCCGAGCGCAGCGGTGCAGATTGGAGAACAGGTTCCGTTCGCTTTCTGAGCAGAGGTGCGGACTTTGTCTTTGGTTGAGTTGGAGGTGATTGTCCGAGAAGCGTCCGAGAGGATGACAACGTTTCCCTTGGCTGTCCGAGCGCAGCGGTGAAGATTGGAGAACAGGTTCCGTTCGCTTTCTGAGCGGAGGCGCGGACTTTGTTTTTGGTTGAGTTGGAGGTGACTGTCCGAGAAGCTTCCGAGAGGATGACAACGTTTCCCTTGGCTGTCCGAGCGCAGCGGTGAAGATTGGAGAACAGGTTCCGTTCGCTTTCTGAGCGGAGGTGCGGACTTTTTTTGTCGTTGAGTTGACGGTGACTGTCCGAGAAGCTTCCGAGAGGATGACAACGTTTCCCTTGGCTGTCCGAGCGCAGCGGTGAAGATTGGATAACAGGTTCCGTTCGCTTTCTGAACAGAGGTGCGGACTTTTTTTGTCGTTGAGTTGGCGGTGACTGTCCGAGAAGCTTCCGAGAGGATGACAACGTTTCCCTTGGCTGTCCGAGCGCAGCGGTGAAGATTGGATAACAGGTTCCGTTCGCTTTCTGAGCGGAGGCGCGGACTTTGTTTTTGGTTGAGTTGGAGGTGACTGTCCGAGAAGCTTCTGAGAGGATGACAACGTTTCCCTTGGCTGTCCGAGTGCAGCGGTGAAGATTGGATAACAGGTTTCTATTCGCTTTGTGAGCGGAGGTGCGGACTTTGTCTTTGGTTGAGTTGGAGGTGACTGTCCGAGAAGCTTCCGAGAGGATGACAACGTTTCCCTTGGCTGTCCCAGTGCAGCGGTGAAGATTGTGCAACAGGTTGCTATTCGCTTTCTGTGCGGAGGTGCGGACTTTGGTTTTGATTGACTTGGAGGTGACTGTCCGAGAAGCTTTTGAGAGGATGACAACGTTTCCCTTGGCTGTCCGAGTGCAGCGGTGAAGATTGGAGAACAGGTTTCTATTCGCTTTCTGAGCGGAGGTCCTGACTTTGTCTTTGGTTGAGTTGGAGGTGACTGTGCGAGAAGCTTCCGAGAGAACACAACGTTCCCTTGGCTGTCCGAGTGCAGCGGTGAAGATTGGAGAACAGGTTCCGTTCGCTTTCTGAGCGGAGGTGCGGACTTTGTTTTGGTTGAGTTGGAGGTGACTGTCCGAGAAGCTTCCGAGAGGATGACAACGTTTCCCTTGGCTGTCCGAGCGCAGCGGTGAAGATTGGAGAACAGGTTCCGTTCGCTTTCTGAGCGGAGGTGCGGACTTTGTCTTTGGTTGAGTTGGAGGTGACTGTCCGAGAAGCTTCCGAGAGGATGACAACGTTTCCCTTGGCTGTCCGAGCGCAGCGGTGAAGATTGGATAACAGGTTCCGTTCGCTTTCTGAACAGAGGTGCGGACTTTTTTTGTCGTTGAGTTGGCGGTGACTGTCCGAGAAGCTTCCGAGAGGATGACAACGTTTCCCTTGGCTGTCCGAGCGCAGCGGTGAAGATTGGATAACAGGTTCCGTTCGCTTTCTGAGCGGAGGCGCGGACTTTGTTTTTGGTTGAGTTGGAGGTGACTGTCCGAGAAGCTTCCGAGAGGATGACAACGTTTCCCTTGGCTGTCCTTGGCGTTCGTCCGAGCGCAGCGGTGAAGATTG